AGGTTTAATTTCAGCACCTTAAATTGGCAAAATCTGACTGTTCCTTCCACAGTACACCAGGTTAGGAAGGGCTGAGCTGAGTGGGGAGCCATTTTTCATATTCAATCAACATCCTAAGAGAAAAAAGTAGATTTACTTTCACATATTATTTTTTAAATGCAAGCAGCCAGGAAACTTGACCTGCAGCACTGACTGGCCTCCACTGACAGTCTCAGCAGAAAGGGCAAGAACTGAATAAACACGAACACCAAACTGTCCATTTTTAGAGACTGTCCTTCTAGGTCAAAGCTCAGGTACATGGACTGCACACACAGTATGTGGTTCTTTGCTCCTCTGTCCCTGCTCTGCAGGTAATAAAGAATTCTTGCCTCCAGCTTTAATGAATATTAGCACTGGCAAAAGGCTGAACATAAAGTGAAAACAGAAAGGCAAGAGGATGTTTAACCACTGCTGCCAGCAGAATTAATGAAGGCACACAGACCAGTTGTTTTAAACCTTTGTTTGTGCACCTACGAAGCTCTAAATACGAGAGATGTACACCACACAGTATAATGCATCTCTCCCCTGCAAGGGAAGTGGCCTTGACAGGGTATTCAAGTGAGCTTAAGTGTACTTGGTAAAAAATGTTAAAACATGCCACTCCGCTCCCCACTCCCAATCTAAACAAAATTCCATTTGGGAACAAGGTGCTCTGCTCCAAACTCTGTTCTTCTGAGCAAAACAAGGGTACACCCTAAGAGCAAAATGACAAGCAGCCATTTAATCTGAGAGCCAGCCCTTTGACTCTTAACACCTCTCCTTCCACTTCCCAGGCACACACAGGGCGCCTATACACGAGCAGCGAGGCTGCTCCGACATACCGTAATTACAGACTCAATTAATCGAGTCTGCCGGAGCATGGTAATTACTGTGCTTCAGCAGCCTCCAGCATCTTGTGTATTAGCATCCCTGGCTTCAAAATGGCAGTGGGTGCACCTTTTTTTTTGTTTTGTTTTTAGACAAAGCATGCCTGATGCCATTTTGAAGCACGGGGACACTAATACATGAGATACTCTGGGTGCTTTAATTAGAGCAGCTCTCAGAGCCACTCTACTTAAAGCTTCCCCCCCACCCCTTACTCCCAGAGCACATGTATAAATGCCCACCATGCCTGAGAAGAGTTTAGATAAAGGAAGTCTGAGGTTTGCAATATGTTTGGAGTGTCAGGTTAAATTTAACGCTATTCAAGATTTATGTTTCAGTCAATGAAATTAAGGGTGATGGAAAATAAGCATGCAAACCGGGCACTAAGCAGTGACTTCTACTCTCTCCCCAAAGCACTCATTCAATTCCACATCAGTGGTGAGCTGGAGGGATCAGGACCTGGAATGCATCTCAGTTACCATACTTCTTTCACAGACTGCCATGCCCTCTAAATGGCAAGTATGTTTTGGAAGCAAAGCAGGGTCTCAAGAAAAGACAGAACACAGACCCAACTGATCCAGTTCTAAGTCTCCTTCTGGCTTCTGTGATTAAATAGGATAAAATAAGCTGTTTGGGGCCTGCTAGCCTCCTGGTTAACCCATTTAAACGGAGGTGTGAGATGGAGGGTTGGTTTCTTCAGCACCAGGGCTGGAGGGATGAGTAAGTATTTTCACAGCAAGGATACATGGGAAAGGAACATGGAGAGGGATAGGGAGCCTAGGCAATCCAATTGGTAAGGCAGAAATGTTTAAATCAGAGAGCTAGAAGCATCTATACAAAGTGGCCATGACTCTGAGCTGCCTACAGGAGCAGAAGCTGGCCTAGAACCATACTTCATTTCCAGAACTAAAATGAGAGTTTTGCTTTGAATAACACAACTCCTTATTTCACACTTGGTCTTCTCGTTAAAGTGCAAGCCAGACCAAGAAGGTTTTAAGTGCTTCTTTAAAGTAGTTCTGCCCAAGTCACAAATGACAGGTAAAGTGTTCTAACCATGGCTAAAAGGAACTGGTTATAAACCTGGTTTAAAGAATAGTTCTGCTAAAATGGTTTTATCCACAGTGTAGAACATGCTGCCACATTTTAACAAGGGGCTTCTACAAAAGTGTTTCCCCTTAGTTTGTCATAAAGCTTATGAATGCTACAAAGGACAAGACAAGTCTCCATAAGCTCCAGCCACTTGCTTAACCATTTAAAATACTGCCTAGATTTACCAGTAACTAGTGTTTGAGGTATTTAATTGAGACATCATAAGAGGGACCCAATTTTCAAAGGGTTGAGCACACACTTTCTACAAATCAGGCCCCTTTTAAAGTATCTCACACTGGAGACCAAAAACTTGAAAAAACAAACCATTAACCACTCTTGAAAACAGACACACGGTTTTCACATAACTACAAGCAAAAAAAGATACATTTCCTCATGGCAAATAAAACTTAAATATGCATTTTGGACTTATCAAATCTACTAAGGATATTAATAGCCTATGACACTGTTTAAGAGGAGAGATAAAGATGCTGCACAGAGGTCAGGAATGTTTTCTCCTGGGAAAGGTTATTGCAAATACCCAACACTTGGGTCAATATGGTTCATTCCAAAGCCAACAATGTGTTCTTTAGAAATATCTGTAGGAGTCCCACAGAGCAAAATAATTACAGGTGGCACAATTCACTAATATCCACTAATACTAATATTCACTAAGGGAGGTTGGGTTGATTTGATGGAATCTGATGAGGAGAAATGCCCTAGAGCAGGGGCTGGCAAAATGCGACCCGCGGGCCAGATGCGGCCTGCCAAGCCATTCTATCCAGCCCGCAGGGCCCCTAAAAAATTTAGAAAATTAATATTTAGCTGCCCCTGGCTGCCTCTCCTGTGGCCCTCGATGGCTTGCCAAAACTCAGTAAGAGGCCCTCTGTCCAAAATAATTGCCCATCCCTGCCCTAAAAGCAATGTTTCTCAACCCATGGGACGTGTCCCAGTGGTGGAGCTTGAAGGTCATGTAGGTGGGCCTTCAACTCATTGCCCAATTGAAAAAGTCGGTTGTTTGCACTTCAAGTAGATAAATCAACAGATATCTTGAACAGTGCTATTTTGTGGGGTTTTTATTATGGTGGGACCAGGGTTTTTTGACAAAATGGCTGGTGGGAAGTAAGGTGCAAAAGGTTGAGAACTGCTGCCCTACAGCACATCACTAGGGCTGTGCAAAGCTTCAGGTGCTGATTTGATTCAGAGGAGATTCAGCCCAATTCAGCAGCCGAATCGCCAAATCCGAACTGAATCAGGAGACCAGTAAAAAGGTCCGAATCGATTCAAAGCTCTCTGAAACGATTCGGAAAAGATTCATAGAGCTTTGGAGATTTGGGCAGTCCCTGCTGGCTCCATGCTAGTAAGTAAGGGGCAGGGGAGGTGGGGCTAGAGGAGTGGGGAGGCGATCATGGGGGGACCCCTGGCAGGCCCCACCCTCTCCCTGCTCCCCCAGCCCCCTGAGCAGCGCCCAACTGCCACCCACTCTCCCAGCCACCCCCCCTCCCCACATGGCTGCCCCGCCGGCCCCC